ATATAAAACTATTTTCATACAATGAAATAATTTTCCAAGGAATAGAATTTAACTTGGTTTACATATGATTAGTTGAGAAATCTTCATTTTAACCACTTACATGAAGACAATACAAATATGTACCTCCAAAAACTCTATTTTGATTCATAAAACACATCACAAAAAATCATATGCATCCTCTTAGCAAGTACTTTACCTATTAATGCTATAGTAGTTTTTATCCTACCGAGCTTAGCAATTGCTAGGGGAAAAAGGGAACAAATTCAAGGATTACAATTCTAATACATCAAATGCTGTTATTATACTCTCCTGCCCCAAATTCCTGTCCTAGCTTATGTTTCACCATAATATTTTAACTTCTGTTTCCCATTCAATTTTTCTTCTTACATCAATATTCAGCAACCATATAAAAATACAACTTTTAAAGGCTTACTATAACTTGCGGAGAAACTTGCGGAGAAATGGAATCATTCCCCTTTAGCAGTAGAGGTCCTAGCATATGCCACCTTCATTCTTAAGATTTGATCCTATTATTCTGTCCCATTTAATTATAAATATCAATTTTACTTAAATTTCAAAACTTACCCTTTTTTCTTGTACCTAAAACCTCCACATATAAAATTCTAAGATTTAATGTTACCCTTCAAATGGCATTCTGTGAATAACAAATATAAAATCAGAGAAACAGAGATTTAAACAACTAAGGTAAAAGACAAAGGGAAGAAAGTTAGGCTGAACAGGCCAAAGCTGTGAAGACAAAAAGAGGAGGAATAAAATAAACTGTGTGGATGTAAAGCCTACACTGCATTCGTGGAAAAGATGGAAGAAATCCAGCATTCCCCAGGGTTACAACTGTTCTTGACCCGTTCATCAGAAAGGCTTAAGAATAAGCACCTTCTCAAACATACAAACAAAACAAAACCCACCACCACTGAGTCGATGTCAACTCATAGCGACCTTCTAAGGCAGGGTAGCACTGTCCCTGTTTGTTTCTGGACTGCACCTCTTCGTGGGAGTAAAAAGCCCTGCCTCTCTCCCGAGGCGTGGTTGGTGGTTTTAAACTGCTGCCCTGTGGATTGCAGTCCAATGTGCAACCACGTCAACCTTAACAAGTCTCTAAAAGGGTGAGATCTGGGGCAATTCCCTGGTCCTATCAAAATACACAAGATGCTCAGAAATAAAACAGTTAGTCACCAATAACAGTTATAGAGACTAAGCAAGAAACAAAGCTGGTGGTAAAGGAAACTTTGCTTCTTGACACGTGATTAGATAAAAGCTCCAAAATGTTTAGTTGTGAAGCAGGCTCTTGGATTGGCAGTATTAGTTTGTAAACGTCAAAGAAGTAAAATTCCACTAGTTTAGAAAACTCAAAACAGTTCAACATAAAAGCCTGTTCAAGACCCACCACAGCTTCTTGAACTAATTAATGACAAAACATAGTAATATAAGAGAACGCAGCATTGCTATACTACAATAACTACTTTTGCAAAGTCTTCTGCAAGCACTACAACATTACGGAATAGATTCTAGTAAAATTTAAACCTACTTCTTCCACATCCTACTGGACCCATGTTAGAAGCTCCTATTCTTCCTGAAAACCCTCCAATCAATGCACTGCCTAAACAAAGATGGAAAGATAATATACTAATTAAATAATCATACTTTCAGCATCTTAAGATACTAAGCTCTCAGAAGCACACAGTGACTAGAGATTATAAAGCCTTCCAGGTATGCTAGTGAAAAAGAAAGCTAGTATATTAAAATTGTTAAGCATGTTCTTTAGGTAAATCAAAACATTATAAATTTCTTTTTTAAAAAAAAGAGAAGATTTGAATAATGTAGACTGCAAAAAGAAAAGGAGACGTATGCAGCCCTACCAAGTCTACCAAAGGAATCTCCAAATCCTCGATTTATTCCAATATCACCACGGCCAAAATCTCTCTCCATGCTACTAGTCATCGCACCACGGTATAACTCTGAAAAGATTACACAACAAATTAAGCTTTTTCAATACACAGCAATCCATTTAGGAATCTATCTAAATTACATCTAAAAGATAGAAAAAGTCACAACTACAAAAGTGTGTGTGACTTACCTAACTGACCTCACATACTACACAGATTCCCATTCCTACCACGGTGGTTCCTATTCTCTCACGTACCCCTCCGCTCTCCGAAAGCATCTAGCGTGCCCATTCCTAAGGAGGCTTTGAGGGATTGTTCTAATAGTAGGGAGGACTAAATGGCACATGCATATCTCACCATACACAATTACTTACCTCCCATTCGGCCAACTCCGCCAAATCCTCCCATGCTGTTCATTGCCTCCAAGCCACCAAACCCAATGCCTGTAGAATAAAGATCAGCTTTGAGATCTGTCAGTTGTATCAGAAAGACACGTTTTGTGAACGCGAAGCCTCGCCAGTAAGCATTTCATCCATCCTACATTTGTGTGGCTACTTCCATCTACACGGAAGCACCTACCAGGCTCAATGTCTACTAGTAGACTTTAGGAGTGAATCAATAGTAAACCTTGACTTTTTCCCCTTTCAAATGCTCCACATGATTTCTAGCTTATTCAAAAATCATGATGGATGCACACAAAAAATTAAATGCTTATACATACCTCCTCCAATTTTATTCATTCCTCCAAAACCTGGACCATCCATTCCCATACCTCAAATAAAATACACAGTATGTACTTTCAGTAAATTTCATTTTTATGGCTAAATGCATAACGAAGTATAGCAAAATAGTTACTAAAAGGTACTATTCGTCTGATCACAATGGAATTCTAGACAGGAAGCAAGGTGCAGGAGGGATGGTTTAAAATCCGATGCCTGGCAGTTTTCTAGCCCCAAGGCTTTACAACGGCCTCGGCACACTGATTAGACAAGAATGCAGAATTCACTGCAGGCCACGCCTACAACACTCAGTTATGGAATATCTAGGACTAGGTCATCTTTTTCTTGATTTTTTCCTCCCCAGAACAAACACAGAAATATCACGATAGACAATTTAGATATTAAACCAGAAGGGGAGAACGCCACTAAACACAGACGCTACAAGAGCAGTAATAAAAGGAATAAAAATAGTATGAATTTGGGGTGAGGGACAAGCAGACTAAGGGTCAGGGAAAACTCTCCAACTGTTGTGGATCAGAATTATTACCATAACCAGACTCTTAGTTTTCAAAATAACAAGACTCTAATAGTATGTATTAGACCATCAATATAAAACGGGGGTCTCAAAAAAAGTGTGATCTGGGACTCTAACGGTTCAATAGGTCAAAATTATTGTCACAATACTACTAAGATATTAACTGGTTTTTACTCTTTTGCTCAGGTGTCTAAGTGGGATTTTTTTTCACACTACAAAATTTATGATACTATAGCAACGATGAAACATACAACTTTCCTCTAGTTCCTAAATTCTTCCTCCTCCTCCCCCACCACCACCCTCACTATCATGATCCCAGTTCTACCTTACAAATCTGGCTAGACCAGAGGATGTACACTGGTACAGATAGGAACTAGAAACACAGGGAATCCAGGACAGATGATCCCTTCAGGACCAGTGGTGAGAGTGGCAATACTGGGAAGGTGGAGGGAAGGTGGGGTGGAAAGGGAGAACCGATTACAAGGATCTACATATAACCTCCTCCATGGGGGATGGACAACAGAAAAGTGGGTGAAGGGAGACGTCAGACAGTGTAAGAAATGACAAAATAATAATTTCTAAATTCTCAAGGGTTCATGAGGGATGGGGGAGTAGGAAGGGAGGGGAGAAAATGAGGAGCTGATGCCAGGGGCTTAAGTGGAGAACAAATGTTTTGAGAATGATGAGGACAAGGAATGTACAAATATGCTTTACATAACTGCTGTATGTATGGATTGTGATAAGAATTGTATGAGCCCCCAATAAAATGATTTTTTAAAATTTATGATACTACAACAAACTGAATGAAGAAGTAGCTATTTTGTATTAAGTAAAACATTTAGAGATTTATAAAATGATAAAATGTCACTCCACTAATATTTTTTTCTTAAAAGATATATAGTATATATAAAAGAACATATAAGCTTAAAATTATTTTTAAATATGTAAATAGTTTTGAGTAACTCAATTTCAATTTTAAATACAGTAAATATTCATGAATATACACACAAACACAACAGCACTCAGAGATCCTCAACAATTTTTAAAGTAAAAATATGAGCATCTTGGGACAAAAATCTGAAAATCAATCTCTAAAGTTTAAACTCTAAATTCATCCAGAACAACCACCTAGTGGCAATCTGAAAACTCTATCTTCGTGACTAAATAGATACATTTAAATGGCTTGTGATCCAAAGTTTTTCAACAGTTTCATAGTTTGATATCCATGGCACTGTGCTGAACATTTTCTCTAGCCTTAAAGGCATTTCACATTCCACAGTGCAAAAACTATGCCTACAAAATAGCATGACCTTTGCCTTCATTCTTCCACTTCAGCTACGTTATTTCTTTTCTCAGAGTAGCATCTTAAATCTGTGACTATAAAATAGCTCTTTACAAAGTATTACAGACCAAGAAACCTAAGCCTCATTATCTCACAATGTACCATTTAAAAGGAAGTAAGAAAGTTAGCATACTCACCACTTGGGCCCAAATTTCCCATGACACCCCCTATGTTCAACTGGCTGGCACTAATAGGCTGCCCACCTGGACCAAGTCCCATTCCAATGCCTCCAAGACCCCCTGAAACACAAGTAAAACCAACGTCACCAAGACTCATGTACAACTAACCACCTGACACTACAATAACATCTATGCACTGGAGCAAGTATGTTTTAAATTTTGCAAATTTTTATGTAGGAGCACTGCTTTTCATTTTCGCTGAGCAAGCAGCACAGTGAAGCCTCACCCTAACACCACACAGAGAAAACCTTTGTAAAGTAGATACGCCTGATATCCACTTAAAGGAATAATAAATAAGGTTAATAAAATACCAAGGAGAATCAGAACAAAAGCATATGGACAAACTGCTAAACCCCAGACTACTGAACAAGACAAAAGGCTGGAGCTGGAAGTCATCAGAGGACCCTCAGAGACAGAGATGACCAACTCTTTCTAAAAGGACAGGGTCTTAGAAACTCTCTGGAGCGGTGCAACTCCACAAACACGGACCTGCCCTGCCATGAGTCAGAATCAACAAGACGGCAACCAACAACATGAAGAGCACGCATGTTTAAGAATGCTGTGCAAGTTACCAAACAAACTCACTGCCATCGAGCCAATGCTGACTCACTGCCAGCCTACAGAGACAGGGGGAACTGCCCTGTGAGTCCTGTCCAAGCACAGCTTGTTAGACGCTGCTGAGCCAGCCACTACCCATGAACCAGTGACACTACCTTGTGAAACGCTTCCAAGACAAACTAAGAGTATTTCATTTACTAACAGATCCTCATTAAAAGAGCTTGTAAAACTGATCTGCTATGTAAACCTCCACTCACACAAGTTCTCAAGAAAGTTTAAAAAAGAGAAAGCTCACAAAAGATCTGTTTCAGGAGGGGAAAAAAATAATGGCGGAGTCTATGAAGGCAAAGAAATGATGAGACAAGAAAATGCTAAGTAATAATGTCTAATTTGTAGAACAGAGGAGAAAACAAGATGAAGAACTACAGTACTGAAATAATAGCATCTGAGGGGCTTCTAAAACTCATGGAAAAATGGAATTCAAATACAATGGAAATTTTCCACAAACTTTCTGAAGCCCCCTCATTGAAATTAAAAACAAAGGCTACTTTACTCCTAATAAGATTAAATTAATGTCAGACTTTTAACAGAAATATTAAAATATTCAGGATAACAGAGGAAGTACCACAGAATAAATACTTGTAAAAAGTAGAAGAACCAAACACAAAATGCTAAGAATTAAGCCAACCAACAAAAAGTAACCTCACTTTCAAAGGAAAAGACTGTGTCTAAAAACAAAACAAAACTCTAATGTCAATTATCATGTTGCTTAAAACGGAAACATATGCAAACACTAAGTACAGTTGTGAGGTCTACTTAATATTAGACAAAAGACTTAAAAGAATTTATTACTGTATATTCACAAAATGATAAAATGTGGCATTCACTAATATATCAATTATAAGCTTACTTAGATTCAAGATATTTAAAGTAAAATCTTTAAAAAGACAGACAAATCAGGGATATTTTATGATATAACTCAGAAATTGATAGTAATTAGTAGGGATATGAGATAATTCATATGATTAGCATAGTTGACTTAAAGAACATGTATACATGACACTGCACTCACCCAGTACACCTGGATTATGTGTCGAACTATGCCACTTAATAGGCCATAATACAAATTCAAATTGAAATATCAATTCTAACCAAAATAAAAACAAGTCTGATAACAGAATATACAATATTGTCAATTAATATGGCCCTTCTAGTCATAATCATCTTTGTGGTGTGTTTTAAATTCCAGCCTCTGTGTTTGTGGCTACAATCTGATTTTGGAGCCTAGTTCTCTGCTATGCTAAGGGGAAGATTAAGAAGAAGTATGTTGTTAAGTAGATGTAACCTTACTAGAAGGTATGAAGCCAATCACTACACTCTTTATTTCCTTGGGGTAGGCCCTACTGAAAGACAAAAACCTAAGAGCCATCTCAGAAGCAGAGAGAAAAAGCCCCAGTCCGTCAGTAGAGTGTCTTGGGAGTAACAGCCGGTGTCAGATTAGGTACAGAAGGACAGAGGGTGGAGGCATGTCTGACTTCTGCCTCCTGGTATTAGGGAGACCAGAGGTTATCCCATTTGGCCTTGTGCTGTTTTCACAAGATTATAACAAGCTCATCTTCTAAAAGTCACACGAAAGACTGAAACAGAATCAAACGACTTAGAAAGGAAAACAGTAAGGACAATGTGATGGAGACAGAGCCGGTAGGACGGAGGACGTCATAAACTACCAAACTTCAAGACTTCCTGTAAAGTCAGCAATTAAGACTGTGCTATTACATGTTGGTTCATACATGTACCAGAACTTGTAAAACATATCCTTGGAGAAAGAATATACTATTTCACAAATAAGGCTGAAGCTATTTTCACAGGAAAAGTAGAAAGAGACCTCTGCCTTAAGTTTAATCAAGTCAAATGAAAATGGATTAAAAACAAACACCCTGAACCCCAAAGAAAGAGAGGAACAAATTTAATATTAAAATTTAAAACTTCTGAACACCGAGACATCTCAAACAAGACTAAACACATGTAACAGACTGGGAGCACATAAATGAAAGCATGCTTGCATTTCCAATATAAAAGAGCTTCAAAAAGTTCATGGAAAAATTCCATTATCTTTTAATTCTTTTTTTCCATGAGCCTTTAGAAACCAAGCCCCTTATATGTAGAGAACTTTCAAGAGGCAAATGGTAAGCTGTCCGGAGGATGCTCAGTGAATGATCGGTGGGTTACACTGGTCCCCAGGGAGAAAAACCTGGGTGTCTGCACTGATCAAGACGAACGCCGGGGACTCCCATGGAGCAGTCCTGCTTTGCCCACAGTGTCACATGAGCTGAAACCCACACAGGGCAACAGGCTTGAATTCTGGTTTTCTAAAATGGGAAACACTCGGCTCCTAAGTGGTTTCCTCTAGGTAAGATATCTGAGAAGACGTGGTAGTATTGGTCTACCTATAAAATTTTATTTCTTAAAAATTAAATATCCAAAACAAATACAGTACATATATAATATCTGCGTGACTGATAATTATTTTCCAATCTATATACTAAAATACTTTATAGTAAAACTTTAATAATAACTGAAGGTGCAATAAAAGAGTAGAAACAGATGACAGTTAGCATACTTATACCCTGCCAGAACTATTCTAATTCCAAGAGCCCGGGTGGCTACACTTTGTGCTGCAATCTGCATGGTCAGCAGTTCAAAACAACCAGTCATTCTGCAGAAGAAAGACAGCACTTTCTACCCCATAAACAGACACAGTCTTGGAAACCCACAGGGGGGTTGCTACGAGTCAGCATAGACTCAAAGGCAGTGAATGTGGTTTGAATTCTAACTAATATAACATCCATGCCATCCCCAAGAAGCAAGGATCATGATTATCCCTATACTGTAGGTGAAGCATTGAAACATAAAACATAATAAACTATTGCTTCTTAAGTTTCTGGAAAGCAATTAGTACTAATCAATGAGCAGTGTGAGGACTTGTAAATCTACCTCAGGATATCAAATTTTTATGCCCAGCAAGGCACAAGTGCTACTAGCCAAAAGTTGGCCATTCAAACCCAGTCAATGGCTGCTCAATCGGAATCACTAAAGGTTCATATTAAATGCACTAAATATACTACAGATTTATTAACGAAAATAAAATGTACTCTGATGGCTATTAAAGGAAAACATTAAAACACTTAAATATGCAGAACAGTGAAATAGTTAAGCAATTACGGAACTTCTATAAGATTGACTGTTATACAGCCAATAGAATAATTGGAAAGAATTTCCAATGTATAAAAATTGCTTGTGTTAAAAAATACATAAGCAATACATATAGCAATGTTAAAAAATACAAAAATATCTACATATTACAACTTCTAACAATGGACAAAATATAAACATTGAACGAAAAACCAGCAGAGGATACTCAAAGCGTTACTTAATGTGGTTGGCTATCTGTAGGTGGGAAAGTTTCAAGGGGATTTTCCCTTCTCATAAATGAACTTGCCATGATTTTTGGTAGTACTGCTTCTGGGATTAAGAAAAACTACCGAAAAGGGAAAAAAAAGGCATCCCAGTGGCTACTCAGAACAACGGTGAGGATGTCACAGGACAGGACAGGGCTGCCTTCTGTCATACATGGGGTTGCTATGCGTCAGAGCAAACACGATGGCATTAACAATAGCATCATTGCTCAGTCTCCCTAAGTCATGCCAAACTACCTTCATAACTTCAAACTAAGCCCAAACTGTGGACAATTTGGAATGCAGAGTAAAAACAAATAGTTGGCTCAGCTTATGGCAATGCTGAAAAAGAAATCTCTCACTCTCTCTCACTGTCATGGAGTCAATGCTGACTCATAGTGACCCCGTGGGGATTTCTGAGACTGTAATTGTTTGTGGGAGTAGAAAGCCCAGTCTTTCTCCCACGGAGCTGCTGATGGTTTCGAACTGCCAACCATGTGGATCATACCCCAACACTTAACCACTATACTACCACAGCTCCTTAAAAAAGAATAGTCTAATCATAGTTTTTACTTACGTGGTAACTGTGGTGTCTTACTATCAGGTGAACGGTAGTCTTCATGAGGAACAGACTTGTCATCCTAATTGAAAATACATTTATTGTATTGTTACTACATAGCAAAAGAAAAAAAAATTGTAATGTAAAGAAGAGCAAACAGAGGGTTGCAGCAATACAAGAACTCACCATTTTCACATGCATTGGTCTATCAAACAAAAATTGACCATTGAACATCGCTGTTGGTTCAGTCAAGGAAAGCCAGTTAGGGTGACTGAAAAATCATACATGAACACAAACTAGTTTTTTAAATCATTTTATTTAGTCACACTTTTCATATTTTACCACTTTTAATGTATTACTTAAGTGTGTTAATCTGTTAGACACTTAAAAAAACTTTTCACGTTGTTGCTTTACAATTTTATAAATTAAATATTTTACTCCAGCAATTGAAAAGAAAATTAATACTACTTCACTTAAAGCAATTGCACTAATCTACAATATACTACACATAATATATATATATATATACACACACACACACACACACACACACACACACACACACAAAGTTGACACAGGTGGGGAAAATGAAGAACAATTCCTACCAGGTCAGTACGTTATAACTAATTCAGTTTAAGAATGACTTTAGAACTTGAACACAGTAGAGGTTTTATATGTTAGAGACTAAAGTCTAAGATATATTTCTAAGTCAGGAAACCTCTATAACCCACACAAAATGGTAACAAGCTTCTTCAAACGCATTAAATAATGACAAAATACCTATGCGGATACAGATTGCTTGAACTGCTTCGATTGCTTGTTCGAAAGTGACTGTGCCCATTCCTCTGCTCTTGCCCTCTTTGTCTTCTTTAATATCTGCCCGCTTCACAGTTCCAGCGATGCTGAACACTTCCTTAAGCTTCTTCCAACCAACTTTAAAGTCAAGCTTAACAGAAAGTTTTCAAAGTTAGAGACCTAGTAAATACCTCTGACTCTATTTTAAAGAGTAAAAAGAATCTTTCCTGAACTCTTAAAACTACAAAGTAAATATAACTCTTGTTACACAATACAGTACAGCAATAATGCATCGATAAAAACACTAAGTCACATAAAATCAGGCTAGCGAGGTCTGTGTTGACACTTATCCTTCCTTTTTTTTTTTCCTTTTTATTCTTTCCTTCTTATTTTCAAAATTGTCTCTCAGTTGCTCAATCTTATTTTGTACCTTTGAAACTTTCACATCTACTTCTACTGAGAGAAATTCAAAATTTTGAGGTTTCAAAAGATTAGAACAAATGACAAAAGAACTACAAAATCTGCATTCATAAATAACAAAACTAAGAAATTCACCGATCACTATTAATGAAATACATAAAATCAGCTTAAGAGTTGCTCAAATAAGTTTATAAAGTCTACAGTTTTTAAATTTTAGACTAAAGTTTAAACTTACATTAGCAACAAAAATTGTGGAGCCAAGTCTACCAGCCTGCAAATTACTGATAACCTCAGGAGGAATGTTTGGATTATTGAGAATGGATGGTGGCAAATTCAACAACCCTGATCCCATGTCAGGGCCATGTCCTCCTGGAAATGTTCCTCCCGTTCGTTGCAGTGCTCTGCGAGCATTTTCTCCATCAGGATCCTGTAACACACGTTGAATGTTCAATGCTACCTAAGACAACACCAGTAAATCCAAATCACTAAAAGAGCAATTTCAAATTCTACAGCAGTTATCCCATCTGCCTCAGATTATGGACCCTCTTAAAGAGTGAGTTTTCTTCTTCAACCAGAAAACTGAAGACCATAAAAACCTGTGGATAAGTAAGGCATTGCAGTCTCTAGAGATGTTAGTTAAGTGCCTCTTTCCAACCACTAACGTCATTTAAGAACTTGCCACTAGTTTCATTTTGCCCTGACATTAGTATATAAGTATATGGCACACAAATATAAGTAACTTAAAAAAGAAGAAAGTACTTACTGTGATTTTTTTCCTTCCAAAATGCAGTAAAGGTGAATTCTCAGCACTAGAATGTCCCCAATGCAATGCAAAACTCATATTAATTAAAAAGTTTTCAACACAGAAACAGATTGTTATAATACCAGGGATGCTGGGGTAAAGGTAAGCTCTTCTAATATTAATCCATCGATTTTATTCCTGAACAAAGTACACAAACATCCACCTTCTAACCTCTATCCTTCCCCTCCACTAGGATCATGATCTCAGATGGAAGGAAAAGACAAATGTACACCAAATGTTCAAATGAAGACTATTACTAAACATTTCTTTTAAAAAGCACAATCATTTCAGGAGAATAAGTAAACAAACGGGCAAGTCGAATGCATTTCTCATTCATCCCATTAAGTGAAATAAAAAAAAAGAAGAAATCTTAACCTTAAAACACAGACAGGTTGATAGTCTATCATCTGAATGATAAACTATCAACCGTACTCTGTCAGCTTCAGTCCAGGTTACTCATAAAAAGAAGTCAGATGACTACTAATGTCTCTAAGAGCTGAGACATCAGAAAGAGGTAAAGTGAGTGTAGACATAAAAGTACTCTATCTTCAGTGTTATTTCCTCACCATGAAGAAAATATAAGAGCAATACAGGAGAAGAAATGTTTGAAAACGTGCTGTGAGACAATTAGGTTAATAGAACTGGTTCAGGTTTAAGGTTTCAAAAATCACGCAACAACACAAAATTTAGGATAGCGATTACTACAGGGAAGGAAAGCACAGTAAGGGAGAGCCACTCATTAGAATTGTTTGTAGTCACCTGTAGGAAAACGTTTTGCTATATTTTTATTTCTATTATTTTGTATGTATTGTGTATCTATCACATAAAGGGAGCCCTGGTGGCAACGTGGGTTAAGCACTGGGCTGCTAATTGCAAGGTCAGCAGTTTGAAACTACCAGTCACTGCATGGAGAAAGACAAAGCTTCATACTCCCAGAGAGTTCTGAGCCCCAGAAACCCACAGGGTAGTTCTACCTGCCCTATCGGGTCGCTATGATTGGGAATCAAGTTGATGATACTGAGTTTGGTTTTATAAGTTTTATCTTAAACAGAACAAATACAAAATAAAGACTACATAAAATAAATCCCCTACTGGTCTTTTCTCCCTTCATGTCAGCCTGTCAGTCATTGACTGCTGTTACCAGTACTCCTGGCCATCGAGTCAATTCCTCGGTGCACGGAGCAGCACTCCCCACAGGGTTTGTGGAGGCAGACTGCCACATCGTTCTCTGCCATCTCTCAGGTGGCAATGAGGTGTTTGAACTACTGCATTGCCTGGGGTCCTTTGCTATTGCAAGTACAAGCCTTAATGTCGGGGGTTTAAATGGAGAGAAAATGTTTTGAGAAACGATGTAAAATGCGCTTTACACAATTGATGTGTGTATGGATTGGGATAACAGTTGTATGAGCCCCTAATAAAATGTTAAAAAAGAAGAAAAAAAAAGGAAAGAAAAAAAATAATAATTTTACAACTATTGCTAATTTCTACCCAATTAAAAATTTTAAATGTAATTATAAAAAATTTCAAGAAACATTAAAAATTCTTTTCTTCAGACTTTCTTCTCACCATACTGCTGCTTAGGACTTAAGCAGTGATCCCAGTCGTTCATCTGTAGATCAGATAGTCCCAGGAAAGGGATGGCCTTTAGTGATGATAAATCCAAAAATGATCACTGACTAAAGAATGCCTCATCATTTAACATGGCTAAGCATTTATTCATTTTTCTACTAAAAAAAGAAGTTACAAATGGTGACATATTATATATCAATTTGTATAGCCATAAGATATTGCCCATTGAAGATCACTGGTGGTGCAGTGGATTCGGCATTGGGCCGCTAACCAAGCGGTTTGAATCTACCAGTCTCTTCTTGGGAGAAAGATGAAGCTGTTTGGTCTTGTGAAGATTTAGTCTTAAAAATCCTGTGACAGCTCTACTCTGTCCCGCGGGTCATGATGAGTTGAGAGCACTCAACAGCAGAGAGATATAATCTGTTGGTTTTGTGCCACCTGGTCCATGCTGACTCACAGTGACCATAAAGGACAGAGCAGAACTGCCTCACAGTGCTTCCTAGGCTCCGATCTCTCCAGGAGCAGACATCAGGTCTTTTCTCCCAAGGAGCTGCTGGTGGACTCGAACCACCAACATTTCAGTTAGAAGGCGAGTAGAGAGACTTTATTCTAAAGCTCTCTGAGATACTGACAATCCACAATGTGCTAAAACTTAAAAGGAACACTCTTATCCCTTCCTACCTAATTAATATCTAGCTAGTAAAAAATATTAAAAGAAACCAAATCTATAAAACATGTCCTTGGAAAAACAAAAAACATATTTAAACATAATTAAGTAAAATTTAAGTTCCCAAATTACCATATATACTTAAGTATAGGCTGACCCAAATATCAGCTGAGGTGCCTAATTTTACCAGAAAAACTGCATTAAAAATGTGCTGAAAAATTTGGCTTATCTACAAGTATATATGGCATGATTTCCCATCAGGGTGGGCTGTTGTACAAGTATGAGTCCTATGACTAATTATTTGAATGCCAACATATTTCGCAAGCATTAGTTCTTGTCTATGCACAGGAGCCACCACATAAATGGGAAGACACAGATCAAATCAAGTTAAACTTTCCACATCAATTCTCTATGTCCCTTTCAAAAAATTCAAATAAAATAACCCGAAATTATCCCAGGTTCACACAGTTTGAAAAAAATAGGAGTAAACTGTAATTACAGAATTTAGGATACTTCTATTTGTTAGTAGTGATGCCTTTAAGTTTAAGTATCATCACCTTACACTCAGGAACAAAGGACAATCACTAATAACCCCACCTTGACCAAAAATAACTGTATTAATTATTATTAGTTAACCTTTATAATGTTGCCATATTTTGAATGTGTTACATTTTCTGTATTACAATTCTAATAAACAGCAAACACTTATTAAGTGCTTTTATATATATTAACTCTTTGAACCCTTATAACAATACTGACACCTACGATTTATTATTATTCCCATTGCACTAATAAAGAAACAGGGCGGTTAAGTAACGCGCCTAGGTCACAAAAGTTCTCTGATGCCTTTACCATAAATTTTATTTAAATTTTATAAACATCATATAGGTAAGTATTGTTGGTAATACTACTACACTCACAGGGATTTACAGAAGTAACTTTCTCAGTCACACAACTCAAAACTAAGGGAGCCAGGACTTAAATCACTGCTATACAGAGTTAAATGCCAAGGCTGACAGTACTGCTGTACAGTCCATGATTAGCATCAGTGTAGGTGGAGAAATTTGTAACAGAGATCTTAGCAAGAATACGGGCAGGACAGCCCACGATCGAACTATTCAGAAAGACAACAGTACAAAATAATGGAGCTGATGAAAATGACTACTATCCACAGTAATCACGCCTTAGATAATTACATCTAACTACAGATAGACTTTTATATATCTTCTGACAATTCTAGACAACATATTTATACTGCTACAATTTCATATACAAGGAAAATTTGCATTTTTGGAAACTATTTGAAGTTATACAACTACATTACCAAGAATGAAAATCCCAAGGAAAGATGTACTCATTTTCATGTCTAAATTATTCCAAATATAAGAAATCTTACCTCCTTAATATTCAGAGGTCTTCCACTAAGATCATATTTATTCATGGTTTCTAGTGCTTTCTTTACAAATTCTTCATCTTTGAATTCAACCACACTTAATGGGGAAAAAAATAACAGGAAATACTTAAGTACTAAGATCTTCTTTTCCAAAACAAAAGTTTAAATTTTACTTAAGATACTTTTAAAAAAAAAGGTTCTTACCCACAACCCTATATCCAAGTAGATTTTTCAATATATGCAAAAGAAAAAAAGTCTTAGATCAGTAGACGAAGTTAATGATATAGAGTCTAACAGTTAAGTCATTAAAAAGCAATCAATATTGGGATGATTTTAATGTCTTACACCTCCAGAACATAACAGGCAAGTGACCACACATTTTCTATACATCAAAAATATCAGATTAAAAATATTTCAGGTTTTAGCATTTATCAAGTTTGAAGTACATTTTTACGTTTAGATAACTTTGAGTCCAAATCAATTTAATATCATTGCACAAATTCAATTGAAAGTAATCCAAGTAACTAAATGAAGGCACCAATATAACTATATTTGCAAAGTGACAAATATTTTCCAGAGATATACTGTACACAAACAGTTTGGGTAATGAATTCTTCAATTCTACTAAAATCAAAACAAGATATAAATATTCATCTCATTTTTAACAAAGTTCTCTACGAGAGAAAACTGGATTCATCACACAATTTAACAGCCTCCAGTTGTGAAAGCATGTGAAAAAAAATCACCTATATTAAAGAAACTAATTTTTAGACTTTTAAAAAAATAATTCTTTGTGATTATAGCCTTCCAAAATGCCATTTGAATGTGATAGCAAAGTTTCATTATTATTGTTATCTTCATCATTATTATTATGCACTTAATAGGTTTTTGTTTTTATAATTATACATCATTGAAAGCTTTCCTGTTGCTAAAAACCAAAATCTGCTGTCAACCAATTCCTGCCCGGTTGATTTAATCATCAGTGTCATTCATACCAATTGGTCAGAGCACTGCCTCTTATGTAATCCTGCAGGATTCCAAATTAAACTCTTCAGTAAGTTTCAAGCATATATTCTGAATTAACACCTTTAAGCTAGAGGCAACTCATAGAACTTACTCTTACAGAATATTGTCAATGCAGTCACTTTAAAATATCCTTAAAAACATGAAAACACAACAAAAAAAAATCTTATGTTACAATCTATTGGCTAAGAAGCAGCATTACCTTACAGCATTAGAAAAGTAGAATGCCCTTTATGGGCACTTAACAAAACCCATCCCTTCCAGGCAGCTAGTTTGGTTGTCATAAGTGTCAGACTTGCTAGTATTAAGCCTCAATCTTGCATAATAAAGTAAAACAAAATGAAACTTAGGTTTCCAAAAACTGGTACAAGTATTATACAAAAAGTAAACTGCTGAGGAACTTTTAAACCTCTAGCAGATTACTGCCCACAGCACTTACCCTTGATTTTCCTTCCGCATCCTTAAAGAGCTCCACGTATGTAACCTCACCAACTACATAAGACATACAAAAGGAAAATACCAAGAAACAATACATTTAAACACCAATATCTTGCTTTACTGCACACCTGTGCACAACTCTACAGAAAAGCACCTATTATTAACCAACAATCAAAACCGGACAAGCATACCTCCTTGGCTATGTAAATTTAACTATTTTTCAGAAATATACATCATCCACATTCTCTAAAAAAGCTAACAACTGTATTAACCTAATTCATACTACAGATCATATTTTGGCCAGCATGATATAGCTGGTGAACAAACGCACATATACATACACATGGTCCCTTAGCCTATCCCATTAAAAACGTCAACATTAGCACTTTGCAAGGAACTTTAGTCAGCCTACAGACCACAGCTGTTTTAAGGTGACTTTCTACCTGAATGTCTTCAATCACATTTGCCATCAATAAACTAAATTTACAAGTCATGCTTCACAGCAAGCCACACACTTTCTAAATAACGTCAATGAATAAAACCAATCAAATAGTTGTCACCTTACAACAGACCCACCGATACAAGGATTGTTATTGATTTGAAGAGAACAGCCTCGAAGCCAAGTACATAGTGTGCAGGAAATGTTGAAACTCAATTTTTCAAGAGATAACAAAGCTCACTTTTACTAGTATTGAAGTGATTTCCCCCCAAACCAGCCATGTCTATTAGGTGAAGTTTTCAGGTGACTCTGAAAACAAAGCTGCAGCAGCAGCAGCAGCAAAGCACATGGAGGACTGCAAAGACAGCATCATGATAGTCATGCCAATGCGAACAAATGAGCTCCACAGCCAGATTCAGACTCCACCAAGGGAATGACAAAACAGCTTTTGGAGAAAAAAAGCAGACCATATTAATCATACTTTAACACGCGAAATGTATTGCAATAGTCCTTTAAAAATCTATTAAAAACTTCAACAAGACACGGCAATCTCTTTAGCAAAATTCTTGGTGGCATGCATATACTGGCTCTCCACTGTCCCACTGGAATGGCAAAAAGAAAAATACTTCATTTATCCATACTATCTTGTAATGAAATTGTGTCAAGTGAAACAAGAGGAAGAGATTAATTGATGTGCCAATAAACAAAAAATTTTTTGTTTTGAGTCTGTGGCTCAGAATTTAAAAAAAAATCCATTCAGCCTCCTACCCCTTCTACCAGAAGAATGTGAGCAGTGGGTTATCCCAAAGGCAGTTACCTTTTTCTCGCATCAGATCTTTAATAGCTTGCCATTTCATGTCATACGGGATGTTGCTGATGAAAACTCTGTTACGATTTGGGCCCTTCTTTTCTCCAGTGCCTGCGTTCTTGTCTTTTGAATATGGATGAAATCTATTTGCCTTCTTAGTTCCTGCAGACTTTTCCTTTAAATCAGATTTCTCGTCTTTTACTAATTCATCGTTCTCCCTAAAATTAAAATGAAAAATTCGGTTGTGCTGCTTAGAAGGGTAGTCCATATTGAATATTTTGCATGGATCACTTATTCGCATTAACACTCCACTAACATTCAACGTTGTTAGTTGCCATCAAGTTGATCACGTTCAACTCAGAGTGTGTCTTTTTGGAAGCTGATTTCCAGGCCTGTCTGCCAAGAAACGTCTGAGTGGAATCAAACCTTTCAACTTACATTTAAATACACACACACGAAATCAAACCCACTCTCACTGAGTCAATTCTGACTCAGTAATACTCTACACAGGGTTTCTTAGGTTGTCTTACAGGACCGGAAAGCCTCAGCTTTGTCCTGTGGGGCAGCCTGTGGCTTGGAACCGCTGACCGCACTTGGGCGTTAGCAGTCCAATGTGTACACCTGCCACCACAACAGCTGGAGAATCGGCCTCCTGGCTTTGAAATTGCCCTGTACTATCTCAAGGCAAGGGTTTGGGGGTTATTACTTAACTTCCCATATAGCAATCCTCATTTTTCCCAGGTTGCAAAAAGTTACAGCATACAATGACTCAGTTTGTCCCACCATACCTTTTAATAAATATTTTTAGATCCTAAGGAGGAAAATAAGTCACTTCATGCCTCTGGTAAATAGAAATCACTTTTAATACAAAATTAATTTCAGGGGTCTCTTTCAGAATGCCTAGAAAATCCAACTTACAAAATGATAACCTTGAAAAAGTTCATTTATCGCTTAGAAACTAACAATTAACTTTCTCAAAACTTAAATCTGCTCCTGTTACTCCATTGAAAATATTAAAATAGGTTTATCTTCTTATCTACATTTATACATACACTCATGCAAGGCTCTCATATTCTATCTCCAATTTGATTAATACAGAAAATGTAGGAGGTATCCTAAAGTTTTCATGCTGGACAATTTCTGTAAACTAGGATACCATTTTTATTAACAGTATTACATAGCCTGGGTGAGAGTGTGAGGCGGTACTTAAAATGTATCATAAATTAGAATTTCATGAATCTAATGAGAATCAACTCCACAACAGTGGGTGTGAATTTTTAATTAAGTCCTAAGGAAAAAATTAAGATTTGTTCATAAGTTATATAATCACAAATGTCATTATATGATGCTTTCACTAACCATTCATAAGATTAACATACAGGTATATACTTAGCAAATAGTACATGTAAAAATACAATTTACTCTTCAAATGAATTTTTAATGCTTTAACAAGTTTATTTTAAGTCACTAATTACTCTAATTAATTTTAAAATCCACTTAAAGATGTTCAAAAACATAAGCTAGTACAAATCTATGTAGAAACCTAGTACATTCAGAATTCACTTTTTAAAACTTAAATTATCAACTAACTGAACTTACTATTTTCCAAGCCAAGCATTCTGGAATTCTATACATTTCAGTGTCCTACAGCTTTTACTACTGTCACCTGTTCCCTAGCTTATTGAACTTTCTAGACATTATTCTTCTAAACAGGTCATAGGAGAGCTCTGAGAACAAAAACCTTATCTGTTTTGATATTAGCAGCACCAAATATGGCGAAGGCCCATAACATATGTTCAACAATAAAAAGGTTGAATGACTGATCAATTAAGAACCTATATCCATCCCAGCACAGATGGTCCAGCTGTCTGCCACAAACACTGCTGAAAGTCAAGATTGTTAGGGCCATGCTTACTTTGCAACCATTTCAGGTCTTGACGAGGAGATGGTCGCACTCCAATTCCATGTGTCCTCACCCCAAGAGTGAGCACAACGTACGACTGACATTCCCTTAGGCACTGTAAGTCACTTAAGACAGGAAGAAGCCCTGGTGGTATCATTATGTAAGCTGGACTGCCAGCTATATGATTAGCAGTTCAAATCCACCAGCCGCTCTACAGGTAAACGATGAGGTGATCTGCTCTTGGAGAGATTCACAGCTTAGAAACCCTCTGCAGGATCGCTATGAGCCAGGACCAACCCCATGGCGAAAGGTCGGGGTTTACAGGTAATTTAAAGTCTACAGAAGGAAGTGCGTAAGTTACACGTTACACTACCCGTTTTATACAAGAGGCCTGAGCATCCGAGGACCTGGGAGTTCCTGGAGCCAATACCCTGCAGCCACCAAGAAAGGTAAGGAAGGACTTGCATGGTCAAGCAGGCCACCTCATCAGAAATGATAAAACCTAGGTCATTGCACTACCCAACGATAGCAAGTATCTGTCTGACCAGCACAGCACTTCTGAAAATGGCAGCAAGCAATCAAAGGCACAAAGGCTTTTCCTCTGGCCTTGGGGTAGAGTAACTATATGCGCAAACCCTTCTTTTTAATATACACCTACTTCACAAGCCCTCAGTGAACTCAGCCTATGATGCAGAACACTTAAATACTGAGGTTGGAAGACTAAACTAAACTCTTCTATTTTCTTCCTAGAAGAAATAAGTTGTGAAATTACATAACTCAAGTTCTAAGTCGTGGCAATGTTCTTTTCATCTTGATCTGTGAGGGGTTAAAAGTTGTTGGGGGCATCTTAAAAACACTTTTTACCTTCATTGCATAAATTATCCCTGGAAAGCAGATCCTTTTAGTGATCAAAGAAGCAAGGTCTGATTAAGAAACTAAGCTATAATTACTCAATTTCTAAACTCTACTTTGTAATTACACTATAGAAGAGAAACTTTTTAAAATAATGAAGCCTCTTGGGGTAATACACATAATTCCAAAACATTGGCACGCTACCTAGAATTCTCCAGCCATTCATTAGGGTTGTCATTCAGAAGTTCCCCTCTTACACTTAAAGCCCCTGTGATAATCACAAAATTGCATCTACTCTGAATTTATAGCTAAAGTATAATAAATCTCAGGGGTAGGGGAGAATTCAACATTAAGTGGGAAAAAAAAAGTTTCATGTGATTTTTTTTAATGTACTAAAGTGAGATATGCAAAATCAAGTCTCGTCCATTCCTTTACTCCTAATGATAAAAATCACCACTCTACTAGTAAACACTTCACCTTACTCCAAGGCTTAATATTTTACACAAGTACTTAATAAAATTTTCGTATACTTCAAGATGTTTGTTAATCGGAGATTAATAATGAAGAATAACAGTAATTCTTTTCTTCCTAGTCATTCTAAAAGAGATTTGATATACTATTATTTTGACCTAAAGGAAATAAACAACAGATCTTAAACTTCCTATCTACAAATGTGAACGTGCCGTCTAAAACCTGTTAGTTTCAAGACCTTAAAAGTTCACTTTTGTATTTCTTAAATATCTATTTACTGGGCCTTTTTGTTCGAACTTGGGGGCTAAAGAAAAGTATGACATAGTGGTCACTACTCTCAATGACTGATACTCAAGAAAAGTTAATTAAATCTTAATGAAAAAAGCATTCTGTTCACTTCAAAGCTATATTTTAATGTAATTTTTAGCCATTTTTATCAACTATAAATGTTAGGCTGTTACCTACTGATTGGGTTACCCAACACATTACTGTCCACTCAAACTTATAGTTAGGTTACAGTAAAAAAAAAAATTAAGTATATAATGTCTCTTTTGGTGTAGTGATTATAAGTTGGGCTGCTAATGGCAAGTTCAGCAGTTCGAAACCATCAACCACTCACTCCTCAGGAGAAGGATGAGGCTTCCACTGTAAAGAGTTAGAGCTCTAGAAACCCACAGGGGCAGTTCTACCCTCAACTATCAACTATGAGTCGGAACTGACTTAATGGCAATATTACTAAGTTTGAGAGAACCATGCTGGGCCAACACGTTTCACGAACAGACAGGACAAGAAATCAAGAAATCTCTGATAAACATGTGTCTTCAGTCAACTCTTGGAGAAAAATGATGGACAAGAGGTAAAGTATAAGTAAATATGGAAAGAATCTGCATTTGTATTTACTCATAACACTTCTTCACCCTATATTAGAATTGAAAATGACTTCCCCAAAAATGTCTCTCTTTTTTGCCCTTGCTATACCACCAGGGGCTTTAAAAGGGATTGGTAGATTATATTTCCTGATAAGAGGTCTAGATACTAGCTTCCCCTGTACTGATATTCCACACGTCATATCCAAGTGTAATTTGGTTTACTATACGTCATTAATGTTTCTATCAAGAGAAGAGGGTGACATGCCAGTGTTTAGCTACAAACTAAAAGCACCTATTTTTATCATGACACCATATTCATCCCTATTTATGAGGTTCAAACCTATGACAGCCCCACCTTTTGGTTCCGTTCCAGTTAATGAGAGGCACTATCTTCCATTTGTGAACAAACTCCCCTGAACCCTCATCTTCTATAACATCATTATTCTGCCTAAATGCTGCCTGCCCCATTCACACTCACTTGCAAGCCGGAGTGACAAACAGGATGGGGTAGGCGGCCCCATCTCACCTGAAATCAATTGCACTTAAAAAACCCTGGCCTAGGTCTTCGGAGTCGGCTTCAAATGCTTTTGTCACATGAGGAAAGTGAGGACATCACCCCTTCCCTTTTCTATTTTCGGCTGAGCATATATTTGCTGCTTTCGACTTCGAAGGGCAACTAACCAGAAAGGATGTTTTCACTGAATTATTCATAGACTTCCAACTTCGGACTAAAAGGGGCCTGACTTCAGATCCCTCCACATGACAAGAACAAAGGGAAGCAATTTTCGTAACATTTCCTTCTAAACGAGAAATTACTGTGGCTTCGAGTCAACTAAATTCTCCGCGGGCCTTTTGGGAACGGCCGAAACCTAAAAGTGATGGTTTGTCTTCCTTAATAAATATATATATGCATATATAAGCATATGCATATATATTTCTCATCATGCAAAAATTAACGCCAGAGCACGCAGCAGCGGGCTTTTAAATAACCGCCTGCACAGCTGAGAAATATTGGGTGGAGGTGAGGGCGGGGGGCGTGGTGGCGTGCACATTATCATCCTTTCTAAAAACACCTTCGGCCCACTCAGCGGATGCCGCCTGCCACCGCGTCGGTCCACTTCCGTGTGGGTGTGGATGGACTCCGCGGTGAGCGCAGGCTTTGGAAAGCAGCGA